TTTTATTTTTATTTATTTGTAAATAAATCTTTGTGTAAAAAAAGTTCAAAATTGTTTACCCCCCTCTGCTTCTTAAAAATCCCGAATGTAGCTTAAATATTAACTATACTGAAGAAAATTTCAAATACTTGTTTAAAGAAGTACTCGTCTTAAATGAAATAAATATTATCTTTAACCAAGAATACCTACATTTTATTAACGCAAGACACAAAATCTTTCTACAGATAAAAGAACGGTTTCATTGAAGAATTCCTTTGATTAATGCGAAGAATAATGTCTTGAATGAAAAATAATTACTACTCCACCAAAACTCAATTATTTTTGGTTTTTTTTCTCAAGTAATTTTATTTTTTATTCAAGAATATTTATTCTCGACCCAAAATGCGACAATTTTAATAACAAGAGTTTTTATCATTTGTTTAAGACTGCTTATGTTCTTAAAAAGGAGAAAATATATTCTCCGAGGAAAACATGTAACACAAGAATAATTTTTAATGCTGGCAAGAAAATATTGTTTCGAAGAGATATATCTATATCTATATATATATATATCTATAGGAATCATTTAGTATCTTAATTTAACTTGGCTGAAGAAATCCTTTTTTACAGTGAAGAGTAGAAAGTAACTAATTTGTTTAATCGTTTTTAATTCTTGTGGCCAATGGTTAAATGGTCTATAAAAACAAACAAAAGTTAAGCTCAAAACAGCAACACAAAAAAAATATTCAAATTTAAAATATTAGATATTAACAATATTTATACAGATATAACTAATTTTTATAAAAGTAGCTGTGGTGCAACGTTAGGCTTCCGCTTGACAAGCGACAGACCCGAGTTTAAACTTTTTTAAATTTTAATAAACTAATTTGACTATTTTATTCGGTAATATTTGACTAATTATTGGTGACTGCTTTTTCGCTATGACAATCAGTCAGAGCGCCCATATTTAAACCCCAACTCCATGACGTGTGGTGAATATAATTTTTGACTTTTTTAATTTTAAGGTGGTCGACATGGAAACAAAGGAAATCCTTGGTCCAAACAAACAAGGCGAGCTCCTAGTTAAAGGTCCAACAATAATGAACGGCTACTACAAAATGGACGCCAAGGATGACTTTGACGACGAGGGCTTCTACAAAACGGGGGACATAGTCTACTACGACGAAGATAAGTCTTTCTACATAGTGGACCGCATCAAGGGTGCAATCAAGTACAAATCATTTATAGTATGTTCATCGGAAATCGAGGACATACTGATGAAGCACCCGGCGGTCAGACAAGCAGCTGTTTTTGGTACGAAGAACCCCGAGGATAATAACCACGTGACCGCGGTGGTGGTCGTGGAGGAAGGTTCGCAGGTGACGCAGGAAGAAGTCCGGGAGTTTGTCGATGGACAAGTCGATGATTACAAAAGGATCAGAGGAGGCGTTAAGTTTGTCAAATCGATTCCGATGACTTTGACTGGAAAAATCAAGACCAGTGCACTCATAAGTTTAATGGAATAAATGTTTTTTAGGAACTTTGTAGTATTCTTTAAGGCAAAAACACAATACCCAGACCGCAAAATCCCATTCCCTGCATATGTCAGGAATATTCCCAGGATTATTCCAAGCGTACCAGAATATTCCCAGGAATATTCCTGGCGTAATCAGATGTCCGCTTTTTGGTTAACCCAGTCATCATAAAAAGAATATTCCATGTAGCGGCATGCATAAGACTTGAGTATTGTTAGGAGAATGTCCCTTAATATAATTTGGGGATTACTCCTAGCTCTTATGGCCACTTATACCCAGGAACCTAACTTAACTAACCATTATTAGTTACTGAGTAGATCAGTTCAACTTATTGTTAAGCTGTGCCATCACAGACGCACATCCAACTGATATTTTTAACCTATGGGTTTAAATAGTTTAAATCGTGCGAAAGCAACGGTGAGAGGTATATTGCAACTAAACTTATGATTATTTACTGGGAATGTTCTTAGATGGTGCGGATTATTCCTAGATGATAGAGCATATTCCTGGAATATAACCAATGTAGAGAGAGAAAATTATTTATTGTTTTTTGAATATACACGGAAAAAAATAATCGGTAGAGGCTACCGATTGGCAATCGGCAATCGGTTGTTTCATAGATGGCGCTCTATACAAATTTTTGATTTAAATCATTTTAAGATAATAATAAGTATTTGTCGTAGAAAAAGTATAGTATGCACCTCGTTTATAAACTTTTCTATACACTCATTAATTAAAGCACTCGCTCGCAAGCTCTCTATTTATTGCAATCAATTCATCGATACTCAAATCTGCTGTCTTGCAGATTTGCATCGCTGTAGCGAGCTGCGGTATTGGATTACCGCTCCACTTAAAAGTTGACTACATTCGGCCATCCTGACTTTCCGTATTGTCCCAAATACGGTCATTAATATCCTATAACAAAGCCAACCTTTAAATAAATCCATCCAACACAATCCTTTACTTGCTTTGAGCATGTTTTTTTAGCTTTAGACGCGACAGCGTTAGATATATCATATCTTACATATCTTACCTATATAGGTGGAGTGCCACTAGCATTTTTAGATATTTTACGTATCTCGAACGCTGTACACACAACTTTAGATAAATGGTTTGATTTGAGCATTTTTTTAGATATTTAACGTATCCCGAAAACTTTACCCACGACTTTTGACAAATGGTGTGCAACTTGGGCAACAACTTTCTGCTTTGACCTGTTGCCTGAAAATCATTTTTCGCAACCATGACAAGGTCGTCCAATGGACTCCGATGTACTACGTGGTTTACATACATTACCCCCATTACCCTATGGAGTGTGCCATTTAGTCCACGCTGAACCGTTTTGACCTGAGCATGTATTCCACTCGTCTAAGCTGCGAGCAAACCCAGTATCGCGCGATTAAAACGTTCGCATTGTCCGTTTGCCCTAGGTGTGGACACAGCATCCAACATATGTTTAATTTCATATTCAAAACAAAAACTTTTGAAGCTACTTGAGGTAAAGGCACTACCACGATCCGAAATAATACGAACAGGGACCCCAAATATATCATATCAGGAAGGACGGGAGGGATAAAAATTTGTTGGTGTTTGGGGGACAATTACGCCGACTAAATCTAAGTACGACGCGGAATCTCCCTAGAACATGGTCTAGGCAATTAGTATTACTTCTAACATTTGGGAATACTATTTGGAGTTGAGGAGTTGTTATTTCGCTGCAGGGGTATAGTTTTCTAGTTGTGGTTTACGTTTTGTTCGTTATTGTCATTGTCCGTGTTTTGGTCAGATTTGTTATTTTATTTTTATTGTTGCTTAATGATATTTTAGAATATCCCTACGTTAAAAATTATATACTATGCTTTAGTGAAGTTTCATTTAAGATATGATTTATTTGCTTGGGGAGGGGCTTTTGACTGTCATTTAAATAAACTAGAATTAATACAAAAAATGGTTCTCAAAGTAATGTTAAAAAAAGAGTACACATACCCCAGCAATCTGTTATTTCTTGAGGGAGGTGTTTGTGATATCCGTCAGTTATACTTCTTGGCGATAACAAATCATTTTTTATTTATTATATACTATGCTTTAGTGAAGTTTCATTTAAGATATGATTTATTTGCTTGGGGAGGGGCTTTTGACTGTCATTTAAATAAACTAGAATTAATACAAAAAATGGTTCTCAAAGTAATGTTAAAAAAAGAGTACACATACCCCAGCAATCTGTTATTTCTTGAGGGAGGTGTTTGTGATATCCGTCAGTTATACTTCTTGGCGATAACAAATCATTTTTATTTAAAAAACATTATTCTAGAACCAAGGGTGCACTCATACAAAACTGGAAATAAGGACAAAAAAATAGCACCATTTATGACAAAAAGTTTCGGTCAGCGTAGTTTTCAGTTTATTATGCCAAAAATTATTTTTATCCCTAAAAATATATTAAAAAATAAAAATAAAATAAAATTCAAGCGAGAAATTAAATTATTTACATTAAATCAAGAGATAAAATAAAATCACTTATTTTAAAAACAGCTAATGGAATTAGGTATTGTTCAATATACACAATCTGTATATAAACTTTCTTTAATTAATTATTTATTAGATACATTGTCACCACTTTTGTTGTAATTGGTTTTAATTTTGTTATGGATATCATCAGTGATGATGATGATTCATCACCTTCATTCTAAATAGCATTATTTTTGTTGTTGATACCATTAATTTTACTGTAAAAAGCATTACTCTAATGTATGCATTTATTATCTCACGCACAAGTTCTAAACTTTAGTGGGTTTGTAATATTAATTTACTATTTTGTATTTCTTCTTAGTATTTTGTATGAATATTTTTTCCTTGGTAAATAAATGTATTATTATTATTATTATTATTGACGATTGTTCACTATATTAGTTTGCACTTGTCGTTTAACTCTTCCTTATCACCCAGCACTTAAGTCCTTCCTGACCGTAGAGCAGTCTGTACTCACTGTAGTTGTCACACTATAATTTGTTTGCACTTTATGAGAGATTATTTGTTGGGTATGGTTTTTACGTTTTACGTTTTAAGAGCTCACGCTGCTACGATACGTCTGGATCAGTGAAGTACTGGGACGTGACTGATGTATTTAGTCTTGTTTATAAATTTTTTGTTAAAAATAATAAATAATGGTACTTCTCTCTTGAAGGTCATAGTTTTCGTAGATCCTTCGCTACCATATTAGCCGATTCTGGGGAAGGAATTTCCAATGTTAAGCGACTTGGAGGCTGGAAATCAACGGCTGTCGCCGAGAGCTACATAGAAGAAACCATGACCCAAAAAAAATTATCAAATAATATTGGACATAAAAAACGGCTCTTCTGAGTTAAGCCAAATTTGAACTTTATTGAATAGTACATCAAGTCACCCGTTGAATGAATTAACCTGTTCTACAATTAATTTAGAAAATATTAATAATTGTTCCTTTGTAATAAATATTAATATTGTTCCTAAAACATGCGCAAAGTAATTTTTCCGAACTTACTGCCTGCAGTAGCGTGCAGAAAAATGTAACTTTGCGCACTTGTTAGGAAAATAACTATTTTTAATTTTGTTTTAATCCTAATATTTTTATTATTTAATAACATTCTACATTATATTTTTCCCTTTATTTTAGTAAACTATTAAATATAATTTTGAATTAAAATATTGTAAAATATCTTTAAATTCCTCTCTTGTATCTACATTTATTCCATTAAACTCCTGAGAGCACTGGTCTTGATTTTTCCAGTTGAAGTAATCGGAATCGATTTGACAAACTTCACGCCTCCTCTGATCCTTTTGTAATCATCGACTTGCCCATCGACAAACTCCCGGACTTCTTCCTGCGTCACCTGCGAACCTTCCTCCACGACCACCACCGCGGTCACGTGGTTCATATCCTCGGGGTTCGCCGTACCAAAAACAGCTGCCTGTCTGACCGCCGGGTGCTTCATCAGTATGTCCTCGATGTCCGATGAACATACTATAAATAATTTGTACTTGATTGCACCCTTGATGCGGTCCACTATGTAGAAAGACTTATCTTCGTCGTAGTAGACTATGTCCCCCGTTTTGTAGAAGCCCTCGTCGTCAAAGTCATCCTTGGCGTCCATTTTGTAGTAGCCGTTCATTATTGTTGGACCTTTAACAAGGAGCTCGCCTTGTTTGTTTGGACCAAGGATTTCCTTTGTTGTCATGTCGACCACCTTAAAATTAAAAAAGTCAAAAATTATATTTACCAAACGTCATGGAGTTGCGGTTTAAATATTGGCGCTCTGACTAATTGTCATAGCGAAAAAGCAGTCACCAATAATTAGTCAAATATTACCGAATAAAATAGTCAAATTAGTATATTAAAATTTAAAAAAGTTTTGATCCAGACAGGAAGCCTAACCGTTGCACCACTGCTACTTTTATAAAAATTAGTTATATCTGTCTATAAATATTGTTAATGTCTAATATTTTAAATTTGAATATTTTTTTTGTGTTGCTGTTTTGAGCTTAATTTTGTTTGTTTTTATGGACCATTTAACCATTGGCCACAAGAATTAAAAACGATTAAAGAAATTAGTTACTTACTACTCTTGAAAACAGTCAAAGATGGTGACTTATCTTAAATTAGTCAAACTTTGACATTTTAAGTACCTAGTAAAAAATAAGTATTTAAAAGTAAAAACGACTATTTTGTTGGTAATTACTAAACAATGCTGGTACTAATTCAAATAGTAGAATTTTGACTATTTCATTTTTAGAGAGTAAGCAATATCTATGTATTTAGGAAAAGTTCTAAGTAAAACCACTAAGCATAGACAATTGAAAAAAAATGTTAAAAATATAATGCAAAAACGAAAAAAATATATAATAAAATGGTTAGAACCTTACCTTATAAGTATATCCTATACTAGGCAACCCCACAGACTGTGGCTTTTCAGTAAACAATCTCCTATGATCTTTATTATAAATATCGTAGTAGGTATTTGCACCGCAGAATTCTGTTTGTGCGTAGCCCTGTAAAACGGTTGCTAGAGGATGTACCATTTTTCTTAAGGCTACTATACATTCAGCTGAAATGCGCGTACCAGCTATCAACATGAGAACCAAACTGGAGACGTTACAATTTTCTGGGATGGATATTCTTATTAAATCGTTTGCATAGTTGGCTACTACGTAGGCGAAATTTACCTATAATTGAAAATTGTACCTATTTTACAAATTGTTTTTCTCGTTACCAAACATTTAAAGCTACTGAATCTACAATGAGTAAATTAGACACCTGTACCAAGAAGACTACTGTGGTATTTGTGCTTACTTGCCTTATATTTATCGACGATTTGCCAAAAATTGGACACTTCAAATTTTTCTAATAGAATCCTCGTAAAACCCGAATGAATAGATTGCGATAGACAAACACCGGCAGATATCCAAAAATATTCTATATACTCTATCATTGTAAAGTTAGTGTCTACCGCGTTAGCCCAATGCTTGATAACATCGTAATCGGGATTTTCTGTGTTTTTATCTTTGATTAAATTTATCAACATTGAAAAATGATTCAAACAAATTGCCTTTGGTAACCCAGTGGTACCGCTGCTGAAATACATTATCGCCGTATCTTTTAGATTTTTTATTTCTACGGGTTCGAATTTATCTTCGTTTGGATTTGGTTGATTTACATCTTCAAACCCAGTTTCTTCTTTATATTCCCCAAAAACCACAAATTTTGCCCGCAAATTCCAAAGCATGCAAATGCTTTGCATTTCCTCCACATGCTCGGGCAAAGTAAAAATCACTTTTGGTTCCAGTATCTTAACAAGTTTCTTTTTATCTTCCTTCGGGTAATCTATCGCAATACAACTTGGTATGGCTCCAATAAAATGGCTGGCTATATATGGGACACAACTGTTTACATGAACTGAGCCAACAAGACAGACCACATCGTCTTTTTTTATTCCGATTTCTTGTAGATATAAGGCAGTCCGTATGCATCTTTTTAGTAGGGAATCATACGAATCTTTTTCACCAGTTTTGTGGACTATCTACAATAACAATTTAAGTTTTTTTTAATCAGTTATAAAATCGCACAATTACTTGATATATGTCAGATGGTTAATCTCAATTAAAAATATCATTATAGTCGCCAACGTGAATAATGAGTTGTTATGCGGGGCGGTTATAATGGTTATCATTACATAAGTGCGAAAAAACAATATAATGCAATTGGAGTACCTACATAATAGTATATTATGTATCAAGTTTGATAAACGCCATTTTATACACGAATTTAATTTAGCTTAAGAGTGTATAGAAAAGTTTATAAACGAGGTTGCATTATGCAACTTGCATACTTTACTTTTTCTACGACAAATACTTATTATTATCTTAAAATGATTTAAATCAAAAATTTGTATAGAGCGCCATCTATGAAACAATAGGGGAATCTGTGTGTCAACGTCAAATCTCAAATTTTTATATTATAAAGGTTATAAATCGAAATGTATTTCTTGAAAATTGATAGTTTTCCACAGTGAAAGTAAAGAAAATGTTTTATGAGCACTTTACAGTGGAGTCCGTGCCAGAATTTAAGTTATAGTTTACTGCCGGCGAAATTAAAAGGTCAGTACAATGTTCATATAAACTTTTCAAATATTGGCGCTGAGAAACTATTTAATACTTTTGTATTTTTGTATTGAAATAATAAAATAATTTTTACATTTAGTATTATTTTACAAGAAAGGCACTTTATTTTAACGATTGTATGACATTTGACAACTTCCAACTAACTTAAAACTAACTTCAGCCCGTGACTAAAAACCTGTTGCTAACTTCAGCCCGTGACTAAAGCGCCATAAAGTCACAACTTGTCAATGTGTATTTAAAAGGTTACTTAGTGTCATGGAAACATGTACGATAAAGGGCGTTTTAAAGGTGGGAGTAGAAAAAATTATTTAATTCTTTCTTTCAAGGCATGCCCCAACAATATTGTTACAAACTGTTGTTATTTTGGATGAGGTTGCAATGAGTTATTTATTAAAAGTAAAGAAAAGTTTATTTATAATAAAATGTATAAAAGCGACTTGACTCTATGCCCGGTACAGGTTTTATGACACTTGTTTCACTACTATCTTATCTAACTGAGGGTTGAGTTTTCTATAAGTATTATTGACATGTAAAGAACTGCAATTAATCTTAACACAAACAAACACATAAAATATAGTTACACAAAATATCCTTTTGCAATTTTGGAGAATACAAAGTTTTGATATTAAAGATGTTAAGGTAAATTTGATAAAAAATAGAATATTTACCTGTGCAATTTTATTCTGTTTTGCATGTTTCTGCATACTTTTAAAATACAAACTTCCTAATCCTGCTGGTAAATCAGCAGGATATTTTAAGTTTTTCGTAACAATTATATTTTCAGACATTTTACTAACATTTACGAAAAATTAATCGGAGCACTTACACTGCAAGTTTATTTATATATCATTGATTAAATAATAATTTTTTTTATCATAACCTATTATACTATATAAATATTATACTCGTAGATATTAACAGAAACATTTTTCAAGTATGTACAAGTTCATAATTCAAGTACACAGATTTTTCAGTTGAAATGATTTAGTAAACTTTGCCAAAGTTACTTTGGGGTTAGTGATATAAGAATGCACAATTGAGGCGTTTCTCGGAAAAACATCATTAGTCCAATATCGTCGAAATTTAGATATTAGCACCAACTGTTTCCTAACCTCCATATATACGTATACAAATAAGTGTTTCTCGTAAAAATGTCATAGGTTCCATAATAATTAAATATGAAATTTAGCTTGTTCTTCTAAAAACCTCACAAGTCCACTCCGTTTCGTCTAAGAAAGTCACATGTACACAACATATGACGTTTTTGGACACTCTAGAAAAGCTTCTACCTCTTTTACATTACCACAGCAATAGAAAATTTTATGATAACTTGATAAAAGAGCAGAAGACCATATCACCTGACAGTCCTGATAACACGGTCGACAACGATGATAACAGCAGTGGATGCGAAGATTGAGTGTGGCAGTAATACAGTTTTTAGTTTTTTCATTTATTTTGTTACTCAGAGTTAGTATTTAGTTTGTAGTGTTTGGAGTAAGGAGAATTGTTTGTTTTTTTCTTCTAAAAACCTCACATGTTCATGTATTTTTTGTGTTTTTTTCATATTCGTTTGAAAATACAAACATGAGGAATTCTGGACAAAGTATCTTACATTTTTTTACATGTAGTAAATAGGTCAATAAAGTACTTTGGTCAAAAATGGGAATGTCGGAGAGTTTTTTTCATTTTCCCAAATATGTTAATTTTGGACTAATGATCTTTTTCCGAGAAACGCGTCAATTTTTGAAACAGAAAACTATATTAACTTATTTTACAATAAGTATCTTTTTCTACTCCCACCTTTAAAACGCCCTTTATGGTACATGTTTCCATGACACTAATGGCGGGTTTACGAGTCACTCGCGTGCGTTTGAGGTTTGCGTGCGTTTCCTGGGCCTTCGCGTCAACGCGTTCTTCCTGACGCGACCCCATTTACGAGTTTCGAAGGCGCGCGTTTGCTCACCTTCGAACGTCAGCTGGTTCCTCAGTGCGTGTGTTTTGATTTCGTCTCGTGTCTCATACTTTGGGAAAATGGACCCATTTTTAATTCTTCGAACCGCAATATTAATGAATTTAGCTCGTCTGCTAATTATGTTTGACACAACACTTCTCCCACGCAGGCTACGCGGCTGATGCCATTGGCTGGCCATGTCACGTGATATCGACTTCAACGCGCGCGATCTTTTTACGGCGTAAAGTTTTTTCCCCGGATAAAAACCAAGACGCGTCAAACTGGCTGAGATTTGGCGCACGCGTCCTTTTAACGCACGCGAGTTCACTTATAAACGATCCCATTGCCCACCATGAGTTAAAACCGTTGCGCGCGTTGGCTAGCTCGCGTAAACGCGACCTCCAAACGCACGCGAGTGACTCGTAAACCCGCCATAAGTGACCTTTTATATTGCAACTAAACTTATGATTATTTACTGGGAATGTTCTTAGATGGTGCGGATTATTCCTAGATGATAGAGCATATTCCTGGAATATAACCAATTTGTAGAGAGAGAAAATTATTTATTGTTTATTGAATATACACGGAAAAAAATAATCGGTAGACTCTACCGAAAAAATCGGTAGAGTCTACTAAAGTCTCTAAAATCGGTAGTCTACCGAAAAAAAATCGGTTCCCTCAACCGATTTTTATCGGTAGAAGCTACCGATTATTTTTCGGTAGAGTCTACCGATTTTTTCGGTAGAGTCTACAGATTTTTTCGGTAGCCGTAACCGAGAAAATCCGCATCGGTGCGCTGTTAAAAAATTTTAAAAAAAATATTAATACTTAAAAATATTAACATTTAAAAATAATATTAAACATTATTCAAGTTAATAAAAGTTACTCTTTTCAGTCAAACATTTTGAGATGGTATTCATTGTAATTATTAAAAAATGCTATTCAAAGAAATGGGTTTTATCATCTATTTAAAAGCAAGTTTATTTATTCAATTATAAATACATACAGTTTTGTCAATTATTTTATATGTAAATATAATTTTAATTTACATATATTTCTAGGTATGTACATATTGGTGATTTTAGTACTGAAAAAAAAATACTATTTTCTATTTAATAAAAAGCGAGTATTTAACTTCTCGCTAAAAAAATACAAAAATTTTCAAAAATTGGTAATCGATTTTTTCGGTAGCCTGCACCGAAAAAATCGGAAGACTCTACCGAAAATAATCGGTAGCTCCTACCGATAAAAATTGGTTGAGGGAACCGATTTTTTTTCGGTAGAGACTACCGATTTTATCGGTAGAGTCTACCGATTTTTTCGGTAGAGTCTACCGATTGGCAATCGGTAGCTGCCACCTATTGCCAATCGGTAGCCTCTACCGATTATTTTTTTCCGTGTAAAGAACATTTACTGGGAATATTCCAAGATGTTTCTTGGAAGGTAGAGGATTATTCTATGAAATATTCCCAATGCATATTCACTGGGAATGTTCTTAGATGGTGCTTGGAAGTTTTAAAGGATCATTCTAGAAATATTCCTAGAATGAAGCGGATTATTCCTAGATGATAGGGCATATTCCTGGAAAATTTTCGAACCTTCATTGCAGTCTGGGTAATTATTGGCACATGCGCTGTTCGATCTTATTTATAATTTATAATTTATTTCATAAAAGTTAAATTTTATGAACTTTCAAGGTTATTCAATAAATACTAAATTGTAGTTACGGATTAAATCGTTGTATAAACTGTTTCACAACTTTCATGCTTATACACTAAATTGTGAATTATGAAATAAATTAATGACATGAAGTTTTATAAACCCGCCATAAAACTTGGGTAAAGAATTAGTCGTTTTAGTACATGGTACGGCCTCTGTTGGCTGGTGGATGTACTATCTCTTGCCGGTAACAGAAAACTGCGGTGAATTACTAATGGTTTATTACCAGAGATATATATATATCTCTGTTTATTACAAACTATAGTTGAGGAGCAACCGTGCAAAACCGGCTATATCCATTTTAATAAAATGTTGGGAAAATGGCAAAAACTCGACGTTTTCTGGCCTTAGGGTGGCCTTTTGTTAATTAGAGTATTTTTATAACATTTAGACTCTTATTAATGAAATATTTAATATTTTAGAGTAAACAAACTGCTTATAAGAGTATACTCTGATTTGTAAACTTTAGATTCAAATCGAGTAAAAATTACCTACTCCATCCTTGCTATATAAAGATAGAAAAATTAAAAAATATATTTAATTTCAAAACGTATATTTTGTGAAAAATAACAAAAATAAAAAAATCCTATAACTAACGTCAACATATTTTATACGTATTATGCAGCGGCACCCACCAACAAGGGAACCATTAAACAGCCCTTGGAAACAGCCACAGATTATAAAGGTTGGAAACAGCACTAAACTCAGTGTTGCCAACCTTTGAGAATTAAATTTCCCACAAAGAGGGTAAAAATTTCCCTTTTTTACGAAAGTTTTCCCACGAATTTTAAAAATGATAAAGTTTATTTTGGCATGGGTATTTTTTGTTTTTTAGAAGAAAAAATACAATATTATGAGAAACGAAGAAATTTAAATTAAAAAAATGATAATTTTTTTTAATCATTCATTTAATGAACTAGACATTACGAATTGCGTTTGTAAATAAAAACTAGTTTAATCTAACACTTTTAGTTTTATACAGCTCATAAAATAATACTTCACCAGCTTTTACAAAAATACTACACAGAAACACAGGCCCACTTATTGGTACAAATCGCACGGATAATTCGGTAAATCCCCGAGTATATTTCAAATTGTAAGCAGGGTTGCCGTTTTGCCAGAAATTGAATGTGAACCAGGAATTTACCAGTAAGAAAGATGGAACGAAAATTTTTATGGCGTGAATTTCTGTAAAATTGTGATTCAACTTAGATGCGGAGTATATACACTGTATTTATAAATACCCTGCTAAAAAAATAAAATTAAAAATTAACTGCATTGTATGCAAACCAAAACTATTCTGCCAGGAATACAACGTAAATTTTTTGCCAGTAATTTCCAGTAATAGATTTTAGTTAAGCCAGGAATTTAACATTGGCCTTCCGGCAACGCGGATTGTACGCAAGTTTGTGACGATTCACATAGAGTATGTCCGGGATGTATCCTCATCATCATGATCACTGCAGTGACGTCACTATTAGGCCGCTGGTTTGTTGACTTTGGCTGTCCACAAACTTGATATGTTTAAGCTGTTATTTTTAAAAGAAAAAGTAGTACCTATTATAGGTATAATACTACTATAGTAAACATTTTTTCGGTAATTTTTTTTTCATGAATGTTGTTTGGACTTTTCTTTTCTAGTTGTTTTAGTTGAAAATTGATTGGACTTTACAATTTCCCACGAATACAGGATTTTATGTTAAAATTTCCCTTTTCCCTTTGGCACTTAAAATTTCCCACGAATCGGGAAATTTCCCACGAGTTGGCAACACTGACTAAACTATAGTTTACAAATTTCTAGACGCTTCGCTATCCCCACCACAAATAATAACCCTAATAGGGTAATAGTTTTAGCGTTGAGTGAAGAAGTCAATGATTTTAGTGTAAAAATAAACTCGCTTACTGTTTACATTACTCTAATCCAAAACAATAATACACTAACGAGAGGAAAACTAGGGTAATTTTAACGCAAATAGCGGTTGTAAAATACTAATTTTAAATTAGTAATTTAGGTATAGTGTAAATAAATGTTTCACCTTTCAAAGTCTAAATTAACACTAATGCGATTGTATTAGACATTCGAGTAAAATATATTATATTTTTATAAGCTCTATATATATATAGAGTTACGTTATTATTACACTTTCAAATAATGTAATTT